GTCGAGGGGGTGAGCAATTTGGGGAGAGAACTCCTAACCTCAGCAGACCCCATTCAATGGGATGGGGAGCCCAGAAAAATATCCTAAGAGATGGAGGCAAACAGAACCCCACCCTGCCACCACTGACTTTTCAAAGCCCCTGTCTCCTCATCTGTAAAACAGGGCCATTATCAAGGTCAAAGTCAGATGAATATTTTTTGAACACTTACTATGTGCCAGACACCGTCCTAGGCCAGTGATTCTCAGTCGGGGCAATACTCCAACCCCAAAGGACACTTAGGAATATCTGGAGACATTTTTGTCACAAGGGAGGGTGGCGCTACTGCCATCCGGTAAGTAGAGGCCAGGGATGCTGCTAAACATCCTACAGCTCACAGGACAGCCCCGCAACAAAGAATTAAATGTCGAGGACGCTGAGATTGAAAAACCCTATTCTAGGCTAGAGTCTACAGTGGTGAATGAGTCCCTGCCCTCACGGTACTTACAATCTTGTGGGAGGACATAATAAAAGTGAAAGAAATAGAATAGGTCAAGAGCATTATACAGGAACACAAAGCAGGTCGGGGAGAGAGAGCACCCGGCAGGGAGCATTTACAGGCAGGATTGTCAACTTCAGCAGAAGGAAGTGAGGGAAGGAGACGTCAGCAGGAGGAGTATTGGAGGTGAGGGGGGAAAGTGAGTGCAAAGGCCCTGGGGCAGGTGTGTGTGCAGCACATCTGAGGACAGAAAAGCATGGCTCAAAAGCGAGAATGGGGCCAGGCACGGTGGCTCACGCCTGTAATCCCAGCACTTTGGGAGGCCAAGGCAGGTGGATCACTTGAGTTCAGGAGTTCGAGACCAGCCTGGCCAACATGACAAAACCCCGTCTCTACTTAAAAAAAAAAAAAAAAAAAAAATTAGCCAGGTGTGGTTGCACACACCTATAATCCCAGCTACTTGGGAGGCTGGGATGCCCTTATGACCTTGGCTGAGCTAGTAAGCCTATGTTCTCATCTGTGGATGTGGTATTCCTTGCCTGGCCCTTGTCACAGAGCCATGGGTGTGAAAATGGGTGATGTGGGAAAACTGCTCGAACCCAGGAGGTGGAGGTTGCAGCGAGCAGAGGTTGCAGCAAGCAGAGATTGCGCCACTGCACTCCAGTCTGGGCGACAGAGTAAGACTCTGTCTCAATAAAATAAAAAAATAAAAAAAAAGAAGAAGAAGAAGTGAGAACGGGCCAGGCACAGTGGCACATGCTTGTAATCCCAGCACTTTGGGAGGCTGAGGTGGGAGGATCACTTGAGGTCAGGGGTTCAAGACCATCCTGGGCAACATGGTGATACCTCAACTCCACTAAAAATACAAAAAATACAAATAAATTAGTTGGGCATGGTGGTGTACACCTGTAATTCCAGCTACTCTGGAGGCTGAGGCAGGAGAATCACTTGAACTCAAGAAGCAGATGGAAGCTGCAGTGAGCTGAGATGTCGCCACTGCAATCCAGCCTGAGCAACAGAGCAAGACTCCATCTCAAAAAAAAAGTAGGTTGGTGTAGAGTCGGGTGTAACATACATGCCATGGCTCTGGCAAAACTCTTCCCCTTCCCATGTACAACCGTCCCGGCTACTCCTCCAGGCAACATTGCATAGTAAGGGCCATAAAGCATCACCCAGCCCTGGGGAGGGACAGTGCTACAGGGAGCCACTGTGCCAGGCGCCAGGATGACAGGGTCACCTCTGACATAAGAATGACTGGCAGGCTCTCAGTCTTTTACACCCATGGCTCTGTGACAAGGGCCAGGCAGGGAACACTTTCCACATCCACAGATGAGAACACAGGCTTTACTAGCTCAGCCAAGGTCATAAGGGCGGTTGGGACAGAGCCCAGGCCTGTGAGGTCTGTGACCTGTTGGTAGTGCAGCTCCTAGAGGGTTGGAGCTGGATCTTGGGGTCCCCAGAGCCAGGTACTGGGCTGGGCTTGGAGTAGGTGTGTCCGTGAAGTTTTGGGGAATGAATAAATGAATGGCCTGACCTGCTCAGGGTGCCTGACCACCTACCCATTGCCCTCTAAAGAGGTGCCTGACCAACAGACCATACCCTCAGTCAACACACAGGCTCCCCACTGGGATTTCAGACAGAGGACAAAGAGACAGAGACGTGGTGGAAGGAGGGAAGAGCCCCCAGGCCCAGCAGGTACCCCAGATCACCCAACGCCTCTCCGATGTCCAGCCTGGGAGCTCCCAACCTCTCCCCTAACCTGAACTGGCCCCAGGCCCTGGGTGATGAGGAGGCAAACAGCAGCACCTCAGCACCAAGACTTCCAGGGGGAGGTGGGCCAGGCCCATCAGGCAGAGACCCCTTATCCTTCTCCCCAGACAGCCCAGGCCCTTCTCATCCCCATCAGAGGGCACCAAGCACTCACCTACTGCCAGCTTTACTGCGATTTCTTTGTCAAATGAATAAATGACTAAGTGAATGAATGATCTTTTCCATACCAGCTGGCAGATAAGACTTTTAAACGGGGCAAAAGCCCTGTGGCAGTGAGTCAGCTGCGTCCACAGCTAGCTCAGGTCTCCTGGAGCTCCTTCTGCAGCTCAGTTGACTTCCATCCTGAGAACCCACTGTGTGTAAGGGCCTGGCTGGGAGCAGGGGTGCAGATACGGGCACTGGGAGGGTGCTGTGAAAGGAGCTTTGGAATCAGGCAGACCTGCATTCAAATCCTACCCCCAGCTCCCCAGCCCCCAGCTCTGTGATCCTGGGAAACGCCTCAGTTTCCACATCTCTAAAGACAAACGGCACCACCCACCTCTTGGGAGTTGCTGTAAGGGAGGTTTCAGTGAAATTTCGTGACAAAATACCTAGCCCAGTGCCTGGTGCTTCGTGGGTGTTCAGAAATCAGGAGCTACGGTGATGCTACTAATGCAAAGGAGGAGGAACCCATGGTTCCGGCCCTCAAGACACCTTCCATCCACTTAGGGGGTAAAACGCTAGATTAAAAAGCAGAATGCAATCTGTCCTCAAACAGAACAGAAGGGCCTGGGAGTTCGAAGAGAAGATCAAATCCAACTGAAGAGGAGGAAAGGCTTTCCCGGAGAGAATGGCATTTGCAGAAGGCCTTGAAGGATAGGGGTAAGGAGTGTCCCTTGGAGAGCGGACAGCACAGACAATGCTTTTGGCACAATGACACACACGATGACCATCGTCAGTTCTACAGAGGCTGGGGAACACATGTGCAGGGAGGTGGAAGAAGAGCTCAGGTACCTTACTCTGGCCTGGGATCTCCAAGGGAGTTTCTGCCTTAACCATTGGGAGCCACAGGAGGCTCCCCAGGCAAACGGAGAGGTGCCTCACGCTTGAGAAGGGTCTCTCTGCCAGGGGTCAGCGGGAGAGGGGGCAGGGCCTGGAGACCAGCTACAAGGCTGTGGCAACAGTCCGGGTGGGGTGGTGGGGAGCAGGGATGAGGGAGGAGGGAATCTGAGCTGCTACAGGAGCTAGTCAGGAGGGGAAGGAAGTGGGAGGGAACCCGCTCCAGCTACTCCAGGACTGCAGCCTGGTGTCCCGAAGAGCCCTGTGCCTGCCACCCCTCTCCCATCCAGGGGCTTGCATGACCCCAGAGTTCACCCAGGCAGGCCCAAGCTCAGTGGCAGGAAGACCCCCTCTGAGGCCAGAGTCTATGGCATGATCCCAAAGTCAAGCTGGGGACCACAGTCATCCCCATTCACACTCGGCCCTAGAGTGGGGACTCTCCAGACCCAAAGGCCACCCAGGACTTACTCTGGGGCAGTTCTCCAGGACCCACTCCTGACACCCACTGTGGGTGAGTCAGTTCTAGTCTGGCAGCCCCCATCTTCTACCCACAAGAACTGGACTCTTTGGCCTCAGATCAACGAGTCACCTTATGTCACCACAGAAGCCAGTGCCACCTCCCACCTTCCTCCTCGGTCAAGGTGTCAGATGGGGGCAGATGGGCCACGTGTCCATCAGGGGCGGCTCTGAGGAAGGATGAAGGCCCACCTTCCCTGCAGTCTCAGGGCACAGGGACCAAGGGCAGAAGAGACCCCCTTTGGAGGAAGAGTTCCCCCAGGCCCTTCCATGAAATACAGGTTCTCTGAGCCTCAGTTTTCCTTCTGTAAAAAATGGGTTATCTTATCTTACCAAACCACGGAGACAGTCAAAAAAATGGGATAATCCTATGTTACCAAACCAGGAGACAGTCAAAAAAAGGCAAAGGGTACACAGTCCCTTGTACGCCCGTTGCTATTACGGGAGTGGTGTTCATAGGAGCCCTAGGGTTTCTGCTGTTTCCATTTTCCTGCGGCCCCTGGAGACTTCATTTGCCTTGCTCGATTACCAGCCCAGACCTCCCGCGCTTCCCCTGCCCCCAGAGGCCACAGAAAGCAGACTCTGCAGTAGCCCCCAGACGCCTCGGGAGGAAGCAGACTGGCAGCTCGCCCTCCAGTTGTGCCCTCAGTGGGCCTGACACACACCTGGCCCTGCTCTTCAGACACAGGACCCTGGTATTTCTAAGAAATCGGAAAACCGTCGCCCAGAGGAAGAGGAAGTCTTCTGAAGAGGGTGCCCGGCGTGGGCAGTGGGGCAGCGCCCCAGCACAGCCCCTTCTCCACCGCGTGGGAGGGAAGGGCTGTCGCGGCAGTCACCGGGGTGAGGGAAAAGGGGTCCCGGGTCTAGCGGGGGTCTGCCCAAGGCTCGCTGCTCAGCCCCAAACGCCCCGGCCTGCGCGCGCAGAGGAACCAGGGTGCGCTCCTGTCACGACGCGGGTAAGAGGGGTTTCGGGGGCCGGAGTTGCGCCCCGAGCGCACGTGTACGGGCCCGGGGTCCCCGGCGGGTCCCTAGAGGTGTGCGGCGCGTGTCTGACGCGGATGGGGGGCGGCGACTCGGACTTCCAGCCTCCCAGCCCGTGACAGCGCCCCGGGAGAGCGCGGCCCGGGCACCCGAAGGCTGCGCACCAGCCGGGTGGGCATGCGGGGCGGCTGTCCCCCGTGGGCCGCGCGAGTCACCCACCTGGGCGGGCAAAGCGTGCCCCGCGGCCCAGAGCTCCAGTCCGACGGCCAGCGCGGCCCAGACAGCGGCGGGCGCCATGGGTGCGAGCGGGATCCGGTTGCCCCCTGCCCTCGCGCCCTCGCGCCCTCGCAGCGCAGCGCCTTCTCCCCAGGCTCCGCTGTGCTCGCCAGCCGGCGGCGACTGAAAGCGAAAGCCCGCGCCGCAGCGCGCCAGAGGCCAAGCGGCGGGGCGGGGCGGGGCGGGGCCAGCCGGCCTTGGACACGCCTCCTTCACGCCCCTCCCCAGCCTCTGCTGGGCCTCCGACCCGACCACCCCAGCATCGCCAGGCCGATACCTCCAGCGTCACTCCCAGCACTCAGTGACCCTTCAACCTCCTCCTATCGTCCCCTCCTCTTCGAGTCACCATCTCCACCTGCCCGGCCTCCACCTGCCCTCCCAGCTCCCACAGGTTTCCCTGTCCCGTGAGGGTGAGGCACTAATTTGGAACAACATCCCCCAAAGCTGACACCTGCTTTAGGGGAACCAAGAGAATTCTAGATCATTCGCTCATTTAGACTCTATTTTAAGTATATTTAATTCTTATTTTTTAGTTTTTTTAGAGACAAGGTCTCACTCTGTCACCCATAGCTCACTGCAGCCTCCAACTCCTGGGCTCAAGCAATCCTCCCACCTCAGCCTCCAGAGTAGCTGGGACTACAGGCTCGGGCCACCATGCTGGGCTGAGTTTTTTGTACAGACGGAGTTTCGTCATGTTGCCCAGGCTGGTCTCGAACTCCTGAGCTCAAGTGCTCTTCCCACCCTCAAGTGATATTCCCACCTGTGGCCTCCCAAGGTGCTGGGATTATAGGTGTAAGCCACTGCACCTGGCCTGTTTAGATTCTAGAGCCAGATCACCTGGATCTGGATCTCTGAACTCACCTCATGGGACTATTCTAAAAATTTAAAGATATGTAATATACATAATGCAGTCTGTACTTTATATATACTTAAGTATCTACATATATAACAATAGGCATTTATAAATCTTGGCTGTTGTTACTACTCTTCATGTGTTCATTTATCCGTAAACACGCATCCAGCCCTTCTCACAGTGAGAAGACTCTGCACTTCCCTGTTCAAGTCTGCTGCCCAGGCAGTGGGCAGATGAACAGAGGCTGGGAGAGAATGTCACCTGGGAAGCTGTGGGGCCCTGAGGGGCTGCTGAGGCCAGGCCCAGGAAAGCTGGCTTCCCCAGGATTTACATCATGACTGAGCACCCATTCCAGCTGTGATCTGTCCCCCGATCCCCACTTTGAGTGCCAGCCCTAATACAAGTCCAGCCCTGCAGGGCCAGAGCACATTCCTCCAGCCCTGGATTATGGGGATCCTAGCCCCCAGCACATAGGGCATTCCTAAGGGTTGGGGGTGGACTGGGTGGCAGGAGGCGATTCTCTTCCCAGTTTCCTCACTGCAGGCTGCCTGAAGATACAGAGACCCTTGCTCTGGGCCACCAGCCCCACAGCGGAGCCTGCAAGGATGGTGCTTCTAGGTGCTGAGTGAGAAACTGGGAAGTGACTCCTTGGGGATGGAAAACCCCACCTCCTAACCAGGAGGCTGGGAAATCACCTGGTTTCCACACGTTTCTGTGATATGGGCCACGCTGAGGGTGTGGCTGGTGTGACCTACAGCCTTCACTCTGCAGAGAGGCTCAGCCACTGGACAGGCGTGCAGAGCTCTTCTGGCCCTTAAGAGAATTGCCTGGGAGCGGCTCCAAGGACTCCCTGATCCCTAAAATAGAGCCAAAGGCAGGAGGGAGATGTCACCTGGTGGAAGCGGGGGACAATAGTTCTCTCCAGTTGTCCCCCACACACCTCAAGACCAATGGGTCCCACAGACTCTCCGCACACCCTCCCCCCAACCCAACAACCAGCTCCCCCTGCCAGTTTCCCTATCCCAGTGAATGGCACCATCCCCTCCTGAAGGCAGGGATCCTCCCAGGCTTAGGTCCCATCCTGAGAGCGAATTCAAGTTCTAATCTCTACGCAACATGAGGCTTCTCCCCTTCTCCAGGCCGACCCAGGCTGCTTAAGAGCAGGCGACTTCTCTCTGGACTCTGCCAAGTGCAGTTCTTGACTCCCCCAGGTTCAGGCCCAGGGGTGAGGGTTTGGGAAGGAAAGGGCACAGTGTTCCATGGCAGCCAAAGTTGTTACCCATTTGGCATTGGGGCCTTTGGGGACAGTTTCCAGCTCATTCTCTCTGGGGTTCTTATGCAGGTTTCTTGGAGACCTTCTTACTGACTCCACTGGCCACAGCTCCCCAGCACCAGAAATGCCTGCACCTCCTGCTGGCCACGATTCACCACCTCCCCTTCGGCTCCTACAGGGTAGTGTCCTCCTGGCTTCTCCTGCTGAGGCCGCCTCCCCTACTAGGAAGCACTGTGGGATGGAGATGGCCAGACTGGCCTCCTCGCTGGGGTCCATGGTTGCCTTGCCCTTTGCTGTGCACCTATAGCAGCCCAGCTCACTCTCCGTGTACCCAGACTCCCTCCAGCAATGCCAGCTCAGGCCCCTCCAGCCACAGGCTCCTTTATTAAGCACCTGCTGTGTGCCAGCCCTGGAGCGTTGAGGACTCAGCAGTGGACAAAATAAACAAGAATCTCCCATCTGTGTTATGTCCTTAAACTCCTAGGATATGAAACTCCCAGCTGGGTCCCTTGCATCCCCTCCTGCTTGGTGCAGGATAAGAGGAAGTGCCCTCTCCTCTCCAAAGGGCAGCAGGGGGCACTCAGCACAATGGCAACTCCTTCCCCAAAATCTTCTCTCTTGGCTTCTCCAACCCCACATCTTGTTTCGGCTGGGGGTGACGATGGCCAGTTCTGGCTGAGTCAGTTTGTCTCTCCACATGACCTGCATACGTGGTCCGGGACTTTCTCTTCCTGCGGGGGGATTGATCTTGACACTCACCATATTGTACCTGCCACTGGGGAATCTGGTAAAACTCAGTGATAGCAGAGGCAGTGCAGAGGGCCTGGACTCTCTCCTTCTGCCCCACAGCCCAGCCCTGGCTCTGTCTCCCACCCATGGTGCTCGGGGCTTCCCGATGAGGCTCTGGCCTTCAGGCTCTGTCCCTGAATCTGCCCCTCCATGGAGTAGTCAGACCCAGCCCTGCAAAGCATAATCCACTCATGCCACTCTCCTAGCCCAGGGTTTTTCAACCCAGAGGTCATTTTACCCCCTGTCCCACCCCGCCACATTTGGCAATGTCTGGAGACATTGGGTGGCCACAGCTGCGGGGGCAGGGAGAGGTGCTGCTGGCATCTTGTAGGTGGAGGCCAGGATTCTGCCGAACATCCCACAACGCTCAGGACAGCCTCATCACAGAGAATCATCCCTCCCAAAACATCCAGAATGCCAAGGTTGAGAAGTAACCTAGCCCATGGCTCCCCATGGCCTTTAGAACTGATTTCAGCCTCGTCCACAAGATGCTGGGGCCTTCGTGTCCTGGCCCAGCTGGCCCACCAGGCAGAGCCCCACCACGAACCCCAGCTCCACATGCTAACTCCCTGGGCATCCGGGGCAACCCTGAGTTCCCACCTCCATGCCTTTGTCCATGCAGGTTCCTCTGCCTGGGGTGCCTTTTCCTCTGTGTTTGTTTGGTGATCACCTACTTGTCCTTCCAGTCACAGCCCCACTCCCGCTCTTTTGTGAAACCACCCTTGACCACACCCCACCAAGCTGGGCAGGATAACATGGTATGTCTACAGACTGTTAGCATAACACTCACTCCGGTATTAGTCGCTTACATGGCCCTCGCCTCTCTTAGTAATTGTGATACTAGCGGTTATGGAAAGATGACTTACACACTTTGTCTTGCACCGGGTGGGGGCAAGCTTTATGGTATGCTTATCCAGCGAGTACAGGGTACAGTGGGTTCAAACCTGGTTTGGTGGCTTCTCCATAGCCAAGGGGTTCTTCTCAGCATGCAGCTCTCACACTGCTGGACCGTATGATACCCGAGGGTAGGGGGACTTGCTCTTGGTCCCCTCTATTTCCCTTAATCGAGCCCCTTCTTGTGCATTTCCTGTATGTTCTGGCCCAGGAGATACCTAACAGGAGGGGCTTGATAAAGTTGAAGTGAATAAGGACCAAATACAGGACAAAGGGAATGCAGACTTGAGTGAACGAATGAATGAATGAATGGATGAATGGGTACATGGATGTCCGGGTCAAGGCTCAGGAACCCAGTCCAGCCCAATCACTCCCAGGCCCTATGTACCCAACCCAGATTCCCAAGTCATGCACCTGGCAGACTCCCAGTCCCACAGTGCAGAGAAGTCCTCGTTTGCTCCTTGTTGACAACACAGACTTCGAGCAGAGATGGGACTGTGGTCCTCAGGTCCCCAACTCAGGGGCTTCATGTGCAGAATTTGAACTCTTGGCCGGGGGCCCCCTGGAGCCTCTCCTCATTTCCCAGCTCAGTCTACAGCCGTCAGAGGTCCCCTGCCATCTCCCACCCCAGTAGATGGATGACTGCACTCCTGCAAGCGAGGGTGGAAGAAGGCAGGGCCGCGGGCAGGCCACGTGTGCAAGGACAGCCGGTCTGTCAGTTATTGAACACCTACTGTGTACCGGGCATTCTAGTGGATCTTTTGGAGGAGCAGCTTTCCAGCTTTAACCAGCATAAGAATCATCTGGAAGGCTTGTGAAACATGCAGAGTTCTGGGCCCCACGTCCATGTCTGTTGAGGGACTGATGATCTGGCTTTTTAATGGACCGCTCGGTGACTGAGGGGCACCTGCTGAGAAACCGTACAGAGGGTTGAGGTGCAGCAGGTGCTGTGTGTGGCTCAGGGCGGTTTGGAAGGCTGAGCTGTGGTTGTGCTAGGAGGGGCTGTTTCCACCATGGGGAGGTCTCCATGCAATATACTTTTTGGAGTGAGCTTTCAGAGCCAGCCACAAAGCCAGCTCCTTCTGACCTGGCCTCAGGGTCCCAGTGGGAATCTGTCTTGCAGAGTTGCTTGGACAGCGAGAACCCTACTCCTTCCCTACCAAGGCTGGCCCACAGCCAGGGCAAGTAACTTTTTCTAGTCCCTCTGTCCTGCTTATCTCAGCGCCCTGAATGTGCCGGGCCAGCCCCTTGATGACTCATGTCCTAAAATCACGAACAGGAAGCATCGTTTAGTGTTAGCCACAGCCCTACAACTGCCTGCTTCATCTGGCCCTCCCACCTGTCCTCCCCCCTTGCCT